ACAGGCAAAATAAAAGACTAGTTTTGTCAGGAACCCAAGAGGGTAAAATTTTAAAAAATCAGCGGAGAGTTTTTCTGTAAAAAAAGACATTTCCTTTGTGGTTGCCACTCTTGGGAGACAGTGACAGTGACTAAGGGGAAGTCTCAGTGTAGAAATGCACATTGACCTGTTGTAGATGTTCCCAAGAGCTCATGCCATGAGTGACTCTCGGGCATTCCCTGGTAAATAGTGCYGTCATCCACAGGAGGGCTCAGGCACTGCCAGGGGATCATCATGAGAACAGTTAAGAAAAGTTGACAACACACACAAAAGAAAGRAAAACTAGGAAAAATAGTCATTTACTTTGGGTTGAACCTTAAAAGGTTTTTCACAAAGACCAGTGTCTCCACTCAAAACATCAGAATGGAGTTGAGAGTGTTTCTTCTTATTTAAACTTAGCTCTGCTGTGTGACATAAGCTGGCTGTCCTACATGAGACAGAAAATGCCCCCATTCAGGGTAATCTTTGGCTAGAGTGGCTCTGGGAACTATTGGGCCAGTATGCATGTTTTTAGACAAACCCTCCAACATTTTAGATAATTAGTTCAGCAAACCCRGAAGGGTCTTTGGTCATCTGCCTCCTGGAGTGAAGACAGTTTTCTTGATGAACAAGGAAGTACTGGCCTGATGATGGATGCACAAGAGGAACTTTTGTCCATGGCCTGGWAACCTCTAGTGCTGCCTCAAATGTTGAAACTCATTAGAGTTCTTGCATTGGAGGCCGCAGAGAGATGAATGGTGTAAAGATTTCCCAACAAACCCCAGGAAACATGGGTCAGCAGCTCATGTCTCAGGAATAAACATAAAATAATGAAGGAGCACATGTTTGCACTAATGTAAGTATCATCCCTTGAGGAGGATGTATTCAGAAGCTATCTATTTATTGCTTTAATATCCTGATTATAATAAACAACTTGGAAAWTTTCCTGTGATAYTTGGAGTAAATACTTACATGGGGGAATTTTTGGATAAAGAAACAAAAATAACATAAAGAATTATAGTCTTTGTTTCTTTCTGTTTCCACACTATAGTCATTGGATACAGGAAGCACAATTTAGAGTAATATAATTACTTTAGGAGAAGACAAAAATATAAACCTCAGAGTAGGGTGGTCAAACCAGGGGTACATGGATATTTTAAGAGCAAACTTCATTAAATTTAAAAATCYCAATCCCAACAAATAAGTGATTTATGTAATTCATACAAYATTTAATGTGGTCAGATCAAAATRTAACCAAGAATTTGATAGACTTAAAGTGTTCCTTGTTAGAAGACAATGGCTGTATGTACCAAGTAAAGCTATGGACACATGGRAATTATTGGGAGATTCAGGAGTGGTTGAACTCCCTTCTCCCCTYCTTCTCCTCTAGGTTTGGAAATATCCTGGGATGGAGACAGTTTTGTAGAGGTCATGGCTGCCCCTCATCTCAAGGGCAAATTGTGTGGCCTGTGTGGCAACTACAATGGACACAAACGTGATGACTTAATTGGTGGAGATGGAAACTTCAAATTTGATGTGGATGACTTTGCTGAATCTTGGAGGGTAGAGTCCAACAAGTTCTGCAACAGACCCCAGAGGAAACCAGTTCCTGAGCTGTGTCAAGGGACGGTGAAAGTAAAGCTCCGAGCCCATCGGGAATGCCAGAAGCTCAAATCTTGGGAGTTTCAGACCTGCCACTCAACAGTGGACTATGCTACTTTCTATAGGTRAGTACAATGTTCTGGGAATGGGGTGGGGTTACGGATCTAGGATAGACTTGATCTTGGAATAGAGTTTGTCAAATCTCCTGCTATGCAAAACAAGGCCTCTCCAATTCTTTCTGTTCAGTAGCCGATCTTGTCTTGAGTCAGCTTCACATGATGCCCCATTTGGGAAATCCCAGGAAGTGTTCTAGGGCAAACTTCTAGGCCACTCTGTAGTTTTGTGTGTCYACAGGTTTACRGAAAAGCTGATGACACCCCAGGGCTTTTCCAGGGTGTTAGCTTGACCCTAAGATTATGGAGGGTTTCCCAAGTTCTGGCCTAAACCACAGTGATATAGGGCAGAGATGATTTCCTCAGATGGGATCTCAAATCACTCTGGCCAGCTTTGGGGGTGTGCATGAACTCTGTTATTCTAGGTCTGAGAAAGAGTTCACATCAGCCTCATGGCCTCATCCAGACCAAATCTGTACAAGGAAAATAAAGAGCTTGAGGTTGGAGGAAGGAAGGGCTCTCACCAATAGTCAGTTCCATGACCTCTTTTGACTCTGTTTAGCTACCTCCTACACAATGCAACTGGCTACAAAGACATCTTGAATTTGACTTCCGTGCCACAAGATTGCATTTGTGACTTGATGAGTTTGGCCTGGTTGTACTTCCATTTACTGCACAATTCCACAGGTTCAAGGGCTATGGCTGCCTATAACTGTAACCACGATGGATGGGGCAGGAAACATGAGCCGAACACAGCCCAAAAGGCCTTGTTTAAGTGATTTGCCTGTGCCTCTTAAAATTAGGAAACTCCTGTGGTCTGCAACCACAGAGAGGTTATTTTTACTCTTTAATTGCCACCAGTTTATTTCCCCTAGCTCTCATTAAATGTGATATTTTTTAATTTGATCTTTGGACATAAAAGATAAAGCTCTATAAAGGCAGCTTAAAGTGGGGTGGAAAAAAGACTATCCCTGTCATCACACATCCACGAACATGGCTGCATCTGCCAAACCATTTGGCTCCAAGTCATACATTTAGCTCTTTCAAGACATTTTCCTGCTATAATTTGAGTTCTCCGGGTTCCCTTCTTTCTCCTCCTTGCATTCCCTCTCTACATGGGCCACATCCCTTTTCTACTGAAATCGAAGGATCTGAATGGGAGACTAAGTGAGTTAACTGCTTGGAGAAACTCGGCTTCATTTAGAATTAAACATCTTCCCTTGAAGATCTGATAGGAAGCTGTAGAGTACAGCAATTAGAGTTATGTGGTTTCCCAGAGCTTGAAACTCAGACAGGTTGTACAACCTTGAACACTTACCCGAGCTCTACAAACCTCAGTTAGCCTATCTGTGAAGTGGGGATAACAAAGGAAGCTGCCTTGAAGGGTTGCCACTCAGATTGAGTGGGATGGCCAACACGTGCTCAGCAAAGAGACCATACATATTGAGCGCTCCCTAATACCTCACTGCTGTGTCCGGTAGCGCTTAAATAACAAACAAGAAGAAGGTCTCTTTTGGAAGCTCTTCCATTACACTCAAAGATTTGGATTGGATTCTTCTCTGTTTAAAATAGAATGGAAAGGTTTTGCTTCTCCCAGAGCTTCCGTTATCTACCATTGGGTTTTTATCCCATTTCAGAAGATTGTCATGAAACAAAAATTGGAGAGCAGGCCTGCAGAGATCAGTCCCTTTTTCCAAATTTCTATTGCTTTGGCATTTGGTGATTTAATTAGTGCTATGATCCTTGGACTACAGCAAGAATATG